GAGAACCAGGCCTGTGTGGGTGCTCTGCTTTCATTGCTGCCCGTGGTTTGAATTTTGAGCAGCACTTGCAGGATTTGCTGCATCTTTATGTGGGAAAAGAGTAGCACAGATAATGTTATGCATCTGTTTCACTCGTTAAAGCAGAAAACTAGAATTTCTAAGTTTTATACATGTTTTTTTAACTTTATATTTGAATTTGCTCAACTTCTGCATCCTATTCCCCAGAATATATGAGGCACAACATTTACAGGTGACCCCAATTCAAGCAGCATCTCCTCATCTGATTTTACTCACCTAAAACTGGGAGAATCCCAAAAGAAATCCCAATATACTGAAGATGTTTTCTCTTTCAAAGATTTCCATATGCAATAGACCTTGACCAAACTCCTTTACCTTTTTACAGTTTAGTCTTGACCTAGAATAGTCTCAGTTACACTGAAGAGTTGGCATCTCTTTGCAAAATTGACCTCTTGTTTACAATTTTATACTAATCACCTTACTGACCTTTCAGTATTGAATTTATTTGCTGTTGCAGTGCCCTACTCTCTACTGTCTGAATATTAAATGTGTTTGTTTTCCCAGAGGGCTAGAGAACATTGGACAAAAGGGTTCAGCAGGAGAGAGTGAAATAAAAAGAGGTTGTGAGTCTTTAACCTTGAGCCTGAAATGAATGTGAACCAAACTCCAGATACTTGGCTTAGATGAAGCCAGGTAAACATTCGAGTATAAGCCCACACACTACCAACCAGAACACAGCTCTTGGTGCTCACCAGGCTTTGCAGATTTTGCCTAGATGCTTGTACTTAGGACTGACATTCTGAATATCACCTTTTTCTTCTGATGGGAAAAAAAAAATTGTAGTATCTAAAATTCTATTTCTTTTTTTTTATTGTTTTTGTTTTTTATTTTTTTCTTGCCTGATGCAGTATAATAAATCTGACTTTCAAGGTGGGATGAAGCTGAAGAGTTTTTTTCTGTTACAGCTCCAGAGAAGAAAGAAGTGGAAACTTATAGCAATGTCAAAAATGTCCTGAAGTGTTGTCCCCGCAGTCTTTTGTTAAAAGCAGTTCATTTTTTTCTGTTGTCTCCATTACTGTGAGAAAAGGGAGCTGTATCTCACTGTTTGTCTTCCCTTGGCATTGTCAGTCTCATAAAGAAACACCATTACATGAACTCTACATAGTTCATACTAAACCAACACTTCCCAGGTTCTATCCATCATGGATGTCCCTGCTTTTCCATGCTTTTACAGCCATAACAACATCCCAAGTTCATCTGCTTTATTTTATCGTCAAAAAAACCCAAAACTGGCTGGGCTTTGTTTCAGCAGAGCCCCCAAACATTTTTACACCAGATATTACCTCAAATCTTGAATTTAGGCATGTATTAAAAGAATTTGTTCCTGTTGGGCCATGTAACTCTGGGTAAATAATATTTTTAAATCTGGGAGTTGGATCAGGTATAATAGATAGATGAAATATTATAGTATTATGGTAGAGAAACTAAAATGCCACCTTTATATGCAACAAACCCTCTGCCTTTGTTTCCACTAAGTTTTGTCCCTGCAAGCAATAATTTGATCCATTGGGGGACAGGCTTTGAAGGAGATTTTGAATTTTATTGCAATGCAGATATTCTGTCACTGAATGATGTGTGACATTAAAAAAAAGTTTTCTTCTGGATGCCAAGCTCAGTATGCAAGATTTTAAGTTGAGGAGGGAGTTTCTTCTAAAATGAAAAACCAATGGAAAACTAATATACATCTCTGTAGAGAGATTTTAAGTGAAGTTATGGGCTTCTACAGCTCCCTTGTGAAGAAAACTCTTTGGAAATCTGATTTGATTTATTGTTACCTTGAGGATCTTGCCCAGTTTGGCCCTTCCATTCCCATTGCCTTCAGAAGGTGAATTACCTCAGGTGTCAGCAGAGCTGAAGCAGTTCTGAGCTAGTATTTCCAGTACAAACCAATGTGAACAAGCAGAACCCATTCTAGAAACGTCTCAATGTTCTCACAAGACCCAAACAGTCCAGGCCAAAAATTTTGGCACATACCTTCACCCAAAGTGAGAGGCTGCAGTTCTATCTTCAGACCACAGCTCAAAGTCATTATTGCTCCCCTGCAATGGCTCGTTAATTAATTAATTGCAGAGTCACTGCGGAGCCCCAAATCCAGGTCATGGCAGTCACGTTCGCAGGGCTGCCTGTCAAACACAGCTGGAATCTGAAGTTTGCCCTGCACTGAATAGGGGCTGGTAATTAAATCCAAAAGAGATGCCAAATGTTGGTATTAAAGCAATACAGATGCTTTCCCTACTATGGGACCTGGAGCTCACAAATTGACATCAGTTCCTGCCCTGCTAAATCTTGCAGACTTAAATACAGTTTGTGTGATGAAGAAAAACTTTCCTTTCTTTGGATTCTGCTGGATCTGTTCAGGATAATTTCAAACACATTTATTTAAGTAAAAATTTACCTTCACCATAAAGATCCAGCTGGCAAATAGAACCTAAGTCTGTGCCATAAGGAGTGGCTGTTCCCAAGATAATAGAATTATCTTGTTAATTGATAAGCTCTAGCATCCAGCTGCAGCTGAAGAGGTGACTGGTATTTGTGTTTAGAAAGCAGAAAGAATGGGGAGGTTTGCAGAAATGTCACCTCATCAGCCCATCCTATAAAGCACCCACAAAAGTTTCCTGATTTAAACTAGGAGACTATGGGAATGTGGTTTTAAGGCTGCCTCAACAGTCATACCATTTTTTAATCATTTAGACTAATTACTCTGCACTTTAAAAGACAAGCTAGGAGGGCTTGAGATCCTTCACAGATAGTGAAAGGATTTGTCACTTTTCTGGCTTTAGCAAGGCAGATCAATCCCTTACCCCACTCTGTTGACTCTGCAGAGCCCTCTCACAGCTCAGATTCAGCTCTCATAAACCCCTGGTTTTTAATTCCAGGAGCTCTCTTAGGTACACTGTGTGATTGCAGAGGGTGAAATTTATTTGTTGATATTGTTTTTTGTGCAAGATAATCTTCCCTCTTGCACCTCTGCCAACCTCACATGTTCTCCCACCCCAAGGTCTGGCCGAGCCATCCTGTGCCACTCAAATCTCTTACCTGGAGCATAAACAGTCACCTGAACTACTTTTTGTACTGTGCCCTGCTGTTACCAAATGTACCTGTGGAGGGAAGGGAGAGTATTTGGGCTGACCCAATGATCTGAACATGGCAGGACTTCAGCTGTTAAGGTTTTAAAAGATGACAAATATCCAAATTTAGAGAGCATAAACAAGGACCGAGATCAAAGAGAAAAAACACCGAAACCAAACCAAGTCAGCCTCCTGCTCAAATGTGCTGAAATTCTGTACAGCTTGGCCAGCTCCAAGCATGGGATCAGCTGGACCCCACAGCTGGACTCCACTGGCCCTGTGCCATTACTGAAGTGCAGTGTGCCAAGGCAAAGAGGAATTAAAGCTTTCCAAAGCAGTGGTGTATCAGGCCAACCAAAAATGTGCAGCATATTTACATGTAAAAAGATCCACATGCCAACCACCAAACCATTTCAAACGTGTGTGGAGAAGCTTTCACAGTACCTGCTTGCACCTTTTCTGCCTCTGCCTGTGTTTTAGTCTCCCCCCTGAGAAATGCTCAAGGTTTGCTCATGGACTACATGGAAGTAGAGGGATAGAACTCATACTTAGTCATGAAACATTTGCCAACAGATCACGTTTTGCCATTCTGTTTTTTCCTCTCTGCCCCTCCACCCCCTTCCAAAGAGTTCTGTTTTTTTCAGCAGTAACCCAGCACAACCCTTCACTTCTTTTGAGAACTGGTAGGTCCCTGGGACTAGAGAGCATCCCTCCCTTTGCCCACCCACAGAGGATGTAGCATCCCCACTCCTTGCTCTGCTCCTCCCATTTCCTACTGGGAAAACGGTGGGCACCATCCCTGAGAATCGCTGGGCTGAGTCTTGAGTTGATTTTCACCTCTCTTCTTCCTGCCAGGTGCTTTCTGGCATTAGGTGGCCCCTGGCCCAGGTCACTGACCTGCTTTAAAGACTGCATAAATGGCATAAATCATGTGGCTTTCAGCATTTAACCGCACGACTGAGACACCAAATCCAAACAGCTCGCTGTTAACAATGGGACTCAATTTAACCCAACGACCAACCCATCATTTTATTACATGTTCTTCTATTTATTAACAAGCTGAATGGCTAGAACAGTGGGTCTATACTCGAGTGTTTACCTCACATCTGCATGAAGGACAAATAAAAGTTGGTTCAACGATACTATGTTCACATTATCCAGGCTTCCAAGTGTAGTTGTTGTGTGCAAGTTATCTCTGTTCATGTGGTAACTGTGATTTTTATTTTTTTTTCCCCCTGTGGTAGCATGATTGCGCTTAGTACTTTGTCTGCTTGGCTTTTTGTGCTCTTGGCTGCATCCATTTAGATTTTGCTTTAAAACACTGATATTCTAGTTTTTACACTTGGCTCCTGTGTGTGTCTCATACGTACCCATCCAACCGTGTCCGTGTTCCGTGCTTTTCTGTTTGTGAAGTGTGATATGTTATGTGTAATGGTTTTTTTAACAACAATACAAAAGAGACTTTTTAATTTAAAAAAAGCCTTTCTACTTACTCACTGCAAAAACAAAAAAAAAATCTATCAACATGCATGGTTTGACATTTGCATTACAATTAACATGGCTTGTCTTTTACTAGGGATGTACCACACGAGTGGACCTTGGCTTTCTTTAACCACTCCTCCCCATCAGTTCTTTGATGGCTTTAAACCTTGGTTTATTTTAATGTTGCAGTTGGTACAGACATTCAAAATGCACATAACTGAGCCACTCGTTTATGCATATAACATCCAGAGACTTTGGACTCCAGCTGCCTGCACTGCCCTAACCATGTGCTACATTTTTCACCAAGTGTTCTCTGCCCTGCTGTGCCCTGGGGAGGTGCCCTCTGACAGCCCTTTCCTTTTCTCCCCCCAGATCCGCGTCGTGAAGGCATTCCGTAGCTCTCTCTATGAAGGTTTAGAAAAACCAGAATCTAGAACCTCTATTCACAACTTTATGACTCATCCTGAATTTAGGATAGAAGATTCCCAGCCCCACATCCCACTCATTGATGACACAGACCTAGAAGAAGACCCTGCTCTCAAGAAAAACTCGAGTCCACCGTCCTCGCTGAACAAGAACAACAGTGCTATCGACAGTGGAATCAATCTTACAACTGATACAAGTAAATCAGCTACCTCTTCTAGTCCAGGAAGCCCAATACATAGCCTGGAGACATCACTTTAGCTGAAAAGGTCACTGCAAAAAGGAAAACAAACAAAAAAAAGAAATATTAAAGAGTTAAAGTAAAATAAAATAAGAAACCCCACAGCAACCGAGATATATAAATATATATATTAAAAACATTGCTGGCTGAAAAGCTGTTTGAACTCTTATTCACTCTGAGACAAGTGAATGAATTGTTGATCACAATGGTTTTGGGGAAAGAATGAATGGCTGATTTACATACCCCCCGTTCCCTTTCAGAAAAACAAAAACAAAAAAAAAATCCTCCTGCATGAATGTACTGTACACTGCTGGCCCTTCTTTCTCTCTTTTTGTTTGTTTTTATTTCCTTTTTGGTTCTTTTTTTTTGTTGTTTTTTTTCCTCCTTAAGCAGGAACTGCAGAGGACTTCTTTCTGAGGCTATTTATCCAATTCACTGGTCTGTGAGTTTTTGAAATGCTTGTGTGGCATGGACTCAATTGTATAGATTAATTTAAATAACTTTTTTGAAGTTGCAAAGCTTAACTTGCACAGTAGATTTGCACCAGTTGGACAGAGGAACTTAAACATTTATGAGACTATATATAGAGATATATACATATAAGTATATAGATAATTAATTATATATATGTATATATCTATCTATATATATATAGTTATATATATATAAAGTTTCTTTGTTGGCATGTTGCCTTGTTTCTGCTCAAATTGCTCTGACTATTTTAACTTATTTATGTCCTAAAAAAGAATGTAATTTGTTTACAAACCTGTAGATAATATCCTTAACTATTTGTAGGGTTAAGAAAGCACTTCCTGCCGAAGTAGTATAAAAATGGCTCAGCTCAGCTCATTGAAAATGTCTGTACTCTTGCACCCCGGATATTTTATTACAACCGTGCTCTGATTTCTGCCTGATTTCCTTTTTGGGTTTTTATTTTGGTCTCTTTTTTTTTTTTTGTTAATAATGTAGATACTGCTAGTAAATAACAAAAGAAGCCAAAATATAATATATTGGATGTAGCATTGTGATCCTATATACAGGGAGGTAAACCAGGCTTCCTTTGTTTCAAATAAAAATCGAAATGATCAGGTTCTCTCCTTTTTTTTTTCCTTCCTTCCCTCTGATGATCTGCTTGAACTCCTTTTGGTGCAACATAACAATAATGGAGGCTATTTCATTCTTCAGACATACAGCAATGGCTTCGGAAACTATTTTTAGAGCGACATTAAATGAGTTTATAATTTAAAATAAGTTATATTTGGTTTGTCTATATGGACATAAAAGAAATGTTGAAATCTTGTGATATACTGTGTTAATCCTTTTCAATTAGTACTTTAGGCATTTATTTCCTTATTATTTGCAAAGTATGGGCTGTTGGCATTTTGGATGAAAATCACTGTAGGTTGTTGCTTTGATTTCTTTTTAAAAGAAAAATATAATTTCTGCACTATTAGGACTGAACAAATCTTTATTAATTGTGTATTGAGATGTGCTTTGTGTGATTTTTTTAAAATCAAGCTTGTGTTCCTGCAGTAACACAGTAATAACATTATTTTACCTTCAGCTTTCTCCCAAGAAAGCTGCTTTGAAAACCTGCAGTCTGGAAGGCGAAAAACATTTTTCAAGATGGTAACAGCCCTAGAAACGTAAAAAATTATGAGCTTATACAATTGCTATGTCAACCACTTGAATGCTAAGCACTTTGTGGATCACAGATTTTTCATAACTAATTTTTGTATTTAATATAAAGTTTGCTTGGAGACTTTTCAGCATATGATTTTTTCCATAACTGTACAGTGCAAAAAGACATTTGGAATTCCACAATCGATTATGCCAGGCGTTGTTGGAACAAAAACACCCTCCAAACATCTCGACCCGTTGAGTTGTTAAGGTGTTTTTTTCTGGTTGGCTCCATAACAGTGGTGCATCTCTGCAGTCCCAGCAGCTTTTAACCAAGCCAGAACTCTCCAAACCAAGCTTAGACTCATGGCCAAACTGCAGACTGATGTTTTCAGGGTGCATCAGGACCCTCAGCCAGGTAAAGCTCTGAGCAGCTTCCCTTGCCAGCTGCGGGACTCGGGGCTGGGAGCTCTGCTGGCTGTGCCTGGTGCCCAGGGTGCCCGGGCAGCGGTGGCACCCTCAGCAGCCCCAGCTGTGCCCCAGCCCAGGCAGGAAGGTGCTCTGTCATGGGGACTCCACCACCCATGGGCTCCCTGGGGCCAGAAGACAAAAGTGGTATCTGTATTTACAGGGAAGCCTCTAGCTTTGGACTTGAACATCTACAGAAGCTATTAATACTGGAACAGTTTCTTTTCAGCATCTTAACACACTGACTGTTTGCCTTTTTGTTTCCCAACACTCTTAATGTTTTTTCTCGGTTCCGTTTTTGGTTTTTTTTTTTTTTAATTATTTTGGAATTTTTTCCTGTAGGAGTACCCCTCCCTAAGGTACCATTCGCAGACTTGAAAACTGTTATAAGAAAATGAACACTGCATTCTGTGTATATATAGTAAAACATATATAAACTGAGATGCATAGAAAACTTGGGCTTTTGTGAGCAGAGACTGTGCTTTATGTATATGATAAATGATAGACTTTTTTTTTTTTTTTTTTTTAAAGCAGAATAGCTATGACCTTTCAACTACAAGTCGTGCATCACAATTCCTTTCTTTTATTGCTTGACCTCTCTGTGATGGGAACAATGGATCAAAAACCAAAATGATCAGTTTGTTAAAATTCCCTGCAATATATAAATGCTCGCTCTCTACGTACTGTACTTAGCAGCATGAGATTTGTGGACAACAATACAGTGGTACATTGGCAATCCATCCCACTAGGGGTTATTAATATATGTTCATTCATCTGTTTTTATGAATTTTTTTATCTAGACAATAATTGTAAATAAAGAACTTACTCTGTCTGTTCATTTAATACTATGCAAAAGGTTATGCTTTCTATTGTTATTCTTATTCCTACAGTGTGATGCTGGAATGTTTGTGGTTTCAAAAAAAAAACAAACAAAAAAGACAAAAGTAAGTAAAATATGTGATGTAAATTATTTTATAGTTTGAAACAAAATGATAAAGATTTACTCTTGCTGCTTTCTGTCTAATAGATCTCTCTTGGCAGGAGCACAAGTGGAAAATTTAAAGAAATAAATTCACAAAGCAGCATGAACAATAATGGTCTGAATGTAACAGCTTTCTTTATTCTCACCTGAACTCCCGAGGTGCAGCTCTGGATTCCTGCTGGGATGTTTGGATGGATGCAAATCCGGACTGGCAGAGAGGACCCTGCTCCCCAGGCACACTTTGCTCTCCTTGCCCAGGGGCTGAGCAGCCCCCAGGGTTTCATTCCTGCCTGGGCTGGGCAGCCTGGAGGTGGGAATGCTGCAGGGAGAGCTGCAGGGAGTGCTCAGGAGAGCCAAACCATGAAGTGAATTTGCTTAGGGAACAAAAATCTGAATCCTGGCCCTGAGAACAGCAGCTCTCTAAGGCTGTCATTGATGTCTTTTCCTGTCATTGATGACAGCTCTGCACTTACACTGATTGTTTTCCAGCTCTTTCTGCCTCTGTCAGAGTGAGAAAATTGAATTTTTAGAACTGGGAAGTGCATCAGGACTCTCAGCCAGGAGAATCAGAACTGGGGAGTTCAGTGCAGGACTCCTCCTGCCACTGAAGGCCTAGGGAAAAAGGAGGGAATTCTCATTCCAGTGCTCAGGCCCTGAGCCCAAAGTTCTTTCCCCTTTTTTTCCCAGCTTAGATTGATGCAGTTGTGCTCATAAAATATTGTTACTATAGGAGTTAGCCAGGCAGGCCAGGTATCAGGTGAGTGGCTGTCAGATCAGTTCATTTGAAATGGCTGCAGGGAGTGCTCAGGAAAGCCAAACCATGAAGTGAATTTGCTTAGGGAACAACAATCTGAATCTTGGCCCTAAGAACAACACTTCTCTAAGTTAAGCTTTCGCTGTCATTCATGACAGCTCTGCACTTACACTGATTATTTTTCAACTCTTTCTGGCTCTGTCAGAGTGAGAAAAATGAACTTTGAATTTTTAGAATTGGAGAGTGCATCAGGACTCTCAGCCAGGAGAATCAGAACTGGGGAGTTCAGTGCAGGACTCCTCCTGCCATTGAACATCTAGGGAAAAAGAGGGAATTCTCATTCCAGTGCTCAGGCCCTGAGCCCAAAGTTCCTTCCCCCTTTTTTTTTTTTCCAGTTTAGATTGATGCAGTTGTGCTCATAAAATATTGTTACTATAGGAGTTAGCCAGGCAGGCCAGGTATGAGGTGAGTGGCTGTTAGATAATATCATTTATAAAGGTAAAATGCTTCAGATTACAGATTTTCCTGTCTTCTCACCGAGATTTCAAACTTTTTATTCACCAATTCTCTATCAGAAGTTATGCTTGATAGAGGCCAAAATGAAATAGTGCTACACTGTGAGGAAAGTCACCAACAAATAAAAATGTACTCAGCAGAGTGAATTCAACAAAACCCCAGAGAAAACAATTATTCAGACAGCAGATTTCTTGGACTAATGCAGCTTTACAGCTACTTTGGAATGAAGCTGATTTCTGCTTTGATTTTGGGAGCTCAGGGCAGGTAATAATCAGAAAATATTTTACTTTAATTCCCTGTCAGTCATTTCCCTCCTCCTTACACGCATAAGTTTATTTGCAGTGTTAGCCTGAGTGCTTTGGGCAGGACTCTCCATCTCTGCACCTGTGAGGAGGTGCTGGGAATTAAAAGCTCTGGAGTTTTTGTCCAGTGTGATTTGGGCACTCTGGGAATGCTGCAGCCCCAGAGGTGTGCGTTAGGAGCTTCACCTTTGCAGTAGAGTTTGTGAAATACGGGATGGATCTGAGCTGTAGGTGCAAACTGGGAGGAAAATCAGGAATGAAATTCCCCACAACGCTGAATTCCTGCTCTGTGCAGCAAACTGAAGCTGCAGAAAGGCAAATATGTGAGGCTATTCATCCATAAGAGAGGACCAGGGCTGATATTCTAAATCAAAATAGCCATGCTGGAAGTTTTCAGCTGTTTTATGCCAAGACCATGAGGGTAGACATTGTGACCAGGTGATGATTTGCTGAGGTGCTGCACTGATAAAGAAGAGGGAAATGGTGAATAAATAGCAGATAAAGGAGAGGAAAAAGGGGGAAATGAGGGAGAAAGAGGAAGAAAATGCAGGTGCATCTATAATATAAATATTGTAATATTTATAATTATAATAGAAGAGAGAAGGAGGAAGAAAATGCAGGTACATAAATAAATATCTATATCTACTGAAATGAAATGGAGTTATAATTGCTGGTTACTGGCTTGATCTGGCACTGAGTTCCAACCCAGGGGAATTCCCTGAATGAAGCCCTTCCCAGAGAAGTCCCAGAGCAGCTGGGAGCAGGTGACCTTGGGTGTCTGCTGCTGCCCCATGGCACCAGGAGGGCTGGCACCACCTGGGGAGCTGCTCTTCCCTGGGGAAGCCAATGTGGGCACGGGGGGAGCTCCAGGGCTCTGCTCTTCCCCCTTCCTCTTGGCGTTCCAGCACTTTTAGAGTGGCTTTTGAGGAGCCACTGAAGGTAAGCACTGGGTATTTGCCATTTGTGCTTGTATTCCTGCAGCTGTGTGAGACATTGGCACAATGGAACATCAAAATAATAAAAATATAATAATAATAATAAAAATATAATAATAATAAAAATATAATAATAGTAATAGTAATAGTAATAGTAATAGTAATAGTAATAGTAATAGTAGTAATATTTTATTCCTGGCTCAGATCCAGACAAGGGTCCATGTGTGGATCACCCTGAGCTATGAACTTCAAATCCATATTTCTGATTTTATGAAATCCATGCAGGGAATGCTCAGGTTTGATCACCAGCACTCTGCTGTAGGAGGTGCTGGGAAAAACAGGGAAGTGTCTGATTCTGTTTTTCTTTCTACAAGCAGCTTTTAACAGGCACATTATGATCTATCCTGATGGGAACTGAAGAGAAGGATGGTTAAACAACTCATTCATTAAACAGGGCGGGCTGTTGACAAACACAAACCCAAGGAAATATTTACAATAACATTTTGTCT